GAAATTCTTTCACAAGCATTCACGAGATATCTAGCAAAAGAGAAAGTGCTATTCTAAACTTTACTCTCTGCCTGGACTCTTGCTTCACTAAACTTCCACTTTACAAGCTCTTCATTGCTACACCATAGAAGTTTAGTTCCTAGTTGGAGGTTAGAACTTTCTTGTAACAAATCAAAAATTGTTGTAAACACTTGGGAGAACAGTTGTTCGGATCCTACAATGTAAGTAGATAGATAGAGTACCTTTTTGGTTCATTAGAGAAAAGTCTAAGGACTGAGTAACTTTGAGTGGTGCTATACTCAGTGTGAAAAACCTTCAATCTAGGCCTAAAAACGTTATAAAGGCTAGATTGGCACTAAATGTATTGGGTCTAATACTTTAGTCAAATCCATCTGAAAGAGGGTGGGACTGGACGTAGGAGGATTACACCACCTCTGAACCAGGATATCTCGTGTGTTGATTTCATTTCAGTCAACAAAGCACACACCCAACACTTCTCACATAAAGATTGTAGTCTGCCAGCAGCATCCTAAGCAGTTGTCTTAATTGACCCAACTGCTTATCATACTGCTTAATTACTCACTCTCTTTGAGACAAAATTCACACCTTTAACGTGCACCATTATCACTTGAAAGGATCACTCTATTAGTTCTCTGAAATTCACTTTCTAAGTACAGCAGGTGCCTCAGCAGTTCCCTGGAATTCACCCAACTGCTGAGATCTCTGCTCATATATACTTACTTCGTGTCAAACATCTCAAACATCACGAGACTGTCACTACATCACCAAGAAGTTTGCTTAACTCAATAAGCTTTTAACCCAAGCAGGTGCCTCAACAGTTCCCTCACATTCACCCAACTGCTGAGTCCACTGCTTCAGCAAAAAGCTATAGTTTCTTTTCTCCTAAGCATACTCACTAAAAGCCTTATCGTACTTATCCTTACCTTCATCATATACTCTGCATTTCTTAAGCAGTAGCCTCAGCAGTTCCCTGCTCTTAGCCACCTGCTAAGCCAACTGCTAGCATTCTAAGCCAAATACTCACCTAGTTAGAAAGTGGCTAAACTCTCATTACATAAAGGGTAAAGACTTCCGCTGTGCATCTATAAAACTCTCAAAAGTTTATAAATTAACTCTTTCAGAGGGAAAACTTTTAAAAGTTGAAAAAGATTTAAAAGTCTATTCACCCCCCCTCTAGACTTTTACCCTATTCGGGACCATCACAATTGCTCATGCATTTTCTAATAAATCAATTGTTTTTATTTCAAGTAATAATAAATGAAGTAAAATGGTTTGTGAGGTTTGATGTGGGTTTTAAGAAAATAAAGGATAGAATGGCTGTTTTAAAATTCTACCCTCTAATCTAACAAATAATTAAAACTACTTATTTCCCCAATAGCAATTATGAAATATTTAGTACACTTTCTACTTACCTCAACTCATGTAGTCAATTTAATTTGAAAATATAGTTTGAATCATTAGTGAATCAATATGTGAAGTTGTACTTTCTGTGAAAATAGCCACCATGTACCAAATATGTACGTAACAATTCACTAATTCAAATGTATACTTTCCAATACTCATATCATTTCCATAATTAATTCGTCCCAAAAAAGATTCTCTATGCACTGCAATAATTATCATATTTAGCTTTCCAAGTAGTTTAAGATAATAACAATAAAAAAGTAGTTTAAAATAATTATTGTAGACTTTACAAAAAGTAAGTTGTTTTTTGTACTATAACAGTATTATATACTTCATTAAAGTGTAGCTTATTTTAAGGTAGATTTCTTTTCAAAAAACTGAATTAAAATAAGTAATTTCATACAACTCAAGAAAGAAAGTGGGACAATTATTTTGGTACAAAGAGAGTATAATGCAAAATAGAAAATTGTTTCGACCAATTGTTCTGTATATAAGGATAATTAACAAAAACATACAAGAAATGTCAAAACTTTGCATGAAACTTAAAAGTATGTAATGAGCAAATTTTTAAAATCAAAATGGAAAAAGTCAAATGAACCATTCTATTATTTTTAATACATCACTTAAGTCCATATACTAAAAAAGTATCATATAAATGTACATGTTTACCGTAGAAACACTGTCAATCAAGTCATTTTAATATGCTATGACATAATGTTAATTTAAAAAACAATTGATTAATCTTATAAAATATCATATAAATTTTAAAAATAATGTAATAATAATATAAAAAATGTATTAGTTTAAAACATGGATAGATAACTTTAACAAGTTATCATAAAAATAAAAATAGAAAAAAGACAAAAAATAAAGCGAAAATGTTAACAACATAAAATTAAACTGTAATAACTTTAAAAAAGATGCATAATATACAAATAGTTCAAAAAATACAAAATATAGTTTTTGACATTGTGAATTTTATCCACAACTTTTATTTATAAGTTTTCGAATTTTAATAAAATTTTAAAGTTTTGTAATACAAAAAACATGCTATTACAGGTCAAAAACCGGTTAAAATGACACATAGTTCTCTCCGTCCCGCTAAAATTGCTCCAATTTTCCTTTTCGGTTTGTCCACTAAGATCGTCCCATAACAAATTTGATAAAGTTTGTGGGGTTCTAAATCATTATTACGTTATTCTTACTTTATCAATTATATCAAGGTCTCTATTCCTCTCAGGCAAGTGCCACATTGTTCATCCTCAACCCATTCAAAGAAATTGCACTTTTGACCACTCAAGAAACGACCACACCCATAAAATCTTTTCCCTCTGTTTTTGTCTGTTGTAGCAGTCCACACTGGTGCTTGGAGTCCACAGTCACACCTCTTAATTCGCCTTGTTGCATCCATCGACCAGGACTTAGCACTCGAAGAACTCATCGCACCTTAATTTTTTTAGCATTAATAAAGTTTAAATTATCATTTCCACTCTTAATTCGTTAACACGCGTGGATTTAAATGAAGATTTCTTTGTTATCTCACCTTAAATTTTTTAGCATTAATAAAGTTCAAAAATTTAACAAACTTCAATTCATACCTCCAAATCTACATTACATAACAAAGTTCAAAAAAAATTATATAACAATGAATTCAACATCAACATACAACACTTCATACATATTCACATTACACAACAAATCAATTCACAAATGAATTCCTAATTCACAAATTCCAAATTTCTATATTCTAAACCCTAAAATGAAAATGAGATAAGTTGGAGATATTTGTTTACCTAGAGTGTTGAAGAAGATGAAAGGAAAGTACTATTGACAAGATATGGAGGCCTTGTCGTCGCTTGCCGGAGATTAACCTTTGCCGGAGTCAGGGGGAGGTGTGTCGCCGCACTTCGCCGGAGTAGGGGGAGCTGCAGAGAGTTTGGGAGTTTTGGGGATTTGGGGGAAATGTTGCGTTCTGCGAACCCGACTTATGTTTAAGGGGTGAGTCGCCTAACGGTTGGGCGACGTATAAGTCGCCAAACCGTTTGGCGACTTATAAATTGTCCAACCGTTGAGCGACTTACCCTGACCACGGTTAAACTCAGCAGTAGATCCGTAAATACTTTTACCTCAACATTATTTACGTAATTAATTAATTAATTAGCATTAATTCGAAAAAAAACTCGAGAATATATTGTCTTTTTTTCCTCATAGAAAGAGTCAAATTAATATTATTCCATGAATATTCAATGCCACTCAAATCTAAATATCCCTACGACGACATATACTTTCTTCGATGGGATGAGTCATGAGCCGTCTTCTCGAATATTCAATGCCATTCAAATCTAAATGATACCGACTATTTATATTTCTCACTAATTTACATTGATGAAAATTAAAGTTTGACATAAACATCCTCAACAAATATATACTACTATTATATTCCTATGTCCCGTAATTTTTTTTTTAGTTTGACTTTCTTTATCAATAGTGATAAACACGGAAAATAATTTTAATTACAAGTATTTCAATTAAGAAAATTTACATACCATTTTTTTGTGATACATAATATTCGTATTAATATATACATATTTTTGGTCAAACGTGTAAACCATCGATGAAGAAGGTAAAAATGGCAACGTTTGGTGGAGGTGTAGTATGTGTTGAATAAGAATGCATTTACCAATATACGACCAATATATCAAATTATTTTTACAAAGAAAGACCAATATAAGACCAATGTTTAAGATTAAATAATTTAAGATATAATAAAAATATATGATTATAATAGCAATTGTTATTGGTGTACACAAAAAGTGTACACTTTAGTACACTTGCCTCTGTACAAAGACAATTACTTATTTTTTAAACGAGTTGATTATTTACACAAGCAATTAAGAGTCTGTACATTTTTTGCGTCACTAGAGTTTTTTCATATAATAAAGATAGCAAAAATGATTTTTAATATTGATGGTCATACAGAATGATAACTTCATTGACGATGCTTACATTCAATTTTATAAAACAATGACTACGAATCTATGATGTGATAATATACCCATAGTTATTATATATAGTTACGTTTTAATCCATCCTTAAATAATCATAACATGTTAATTTCAAATTATTTACATATTATACTTATACGGAGTACAAGTATATCTTATGTTAAAATTTTAAAACCTCAACTTTTTACGGAGTACTCCCTCCGTTCCGAATTAATCGTCTGATTTTGACTTTCACACTGATTAAGAAAATAGAGTTGACTTCACACTGTAGCGACACTGTTTGGCACTGTAGCGACACTGTTTGACACTGTAGCGATACTGTTTTGCACTGTTTGCCACCGTTTTGTATAGATTTGTTTGTCAAATAAGGAAATTTTCAAAGTAGGACGATTATTTCGAGACGGACCGAAAAGGGAAGCAGGACAATTATTTCAGGACGGAGGGAGTATTTTTTGGTAATAGTGAATTCAAATTATGCGTTGAAATTAAAAAGAACAAAAAGTGCTATAGGATGATGAATGCTGATAGTAAGAGTTACAGGTTGGTCAACATTTGAATATCCAACATATATTGCAACTACCCATTTACAGGTTGGGCATCATTCAGTCAAATATTCTGACTTCATAAGTAAGAATGGGTTCGCAAATGCTAGTATTATTCAAATCAAATCTTCTTCTTCTTCATCTTCCTCCATACTACATAGATTAGATTCCCAGCTTTAACAAGGGAAGGAAAATCTAGCAGTGTGGCCTGCTTTAGGTATGGGCATTTGCATGGGGAGACCAGCTAAGCTTGCTCATGCTTCTTCTTCTCTATTTCCTGGTATCCCCAATCCCACCAGCTATTACTATTTTCTGTTTTTGTTTTTGTTAAAGTATTTGTCTCAGAAAACTGTAAAACAATTAAACATACGGAGTATGTAATACTTTTGGCTCAGATTGACATGGAATCCCAAGTGTTAATATGGTATGACTGCTTGTTTAACCCTTGTTTAACACTCACGATGAAGGATAACTTGTTAAGAGTCTGTTTGGCCCATTTATACACCCAATATTGTCAAGCCCGAATCAGGCTGACAAGGCGTGTTAAAGTATTTGTCCACACCCCTAGTTAAAGAGATGAAATCCCGAGTTTTAACAATTTTGTTTTGTATGTTTCGCCTATGTCATTCTTTTCTATACTGAACTGCAACCGAATTTTGATGTACCTACCAATCATGATGTTTGTGTAGTAATCAAGAGATGCTCTTTTTTCACAGTATGGTTTTGTTTGGGATGATCACTTTTTCCCTTCTGCATAATCCATGAAAACTACCATATAGAACATATAAGTCAATTAATTAGACTTTGTTATCATTTTTTACTAAACTAAAAAACAAAATTTTGAAAACAGAAGTCTTATTCTCATTTTTTGCTACAGTTTTCAAATATTAACACGAGTAGTATATTTTTAAAGTATATGTCAGATATTCATAAGGTGCACAAGATTTATAATTGGGGACGAGTGATAATTTGGGAGGATCAATACATATAATAGATATATAATGGCTATTGATATGTATATTTATTAAAAATTGGAGTAATACCTATTTTAAAATGGGGGCAGGGGACAGCTTCCCCTACAAACCCTTTTTTTGTCTAACAGAAAAACATGATACATTATTCTAAGTATAAATGTACAAATCAACATAAGCTACTAGTAGCTTTAATTTGTCTTTTTCTAATATAAGATACTACCAATCAACATATCAATCTGAATACATTAAGCTTAAACAAGTTCTCAATATGCAGTGACATGTTTATGATCAGATATATGAGCTAAAATTGCCAATATCACATGCTACTCCATTTTTGTTATGTGTTGAACAAAAATGCATAGTTCTCATGTCATTCACTTTTTGTCCCAGATTCTAAGATTTCTTGTGCTGACAGAGAGAAAAAGGGAACAAGTCATTATGAGAGTATTCTGACTACTACTACCAATCCAAACCTCTCTATCATGTCTTCTAACCTCAAAGAATTCACATTCAATGACCTGAAAACCGCGACTAGGAACTTCCGTTTTGATAGTCTTCTCGGGGAGGGAGGATTTGGATTTGTATTCAAAGGATGGATAGATGAGAAGACTTTTGCTCCATGCAAGCCAGGAACGGGTATGGTAGTGGCTGTCAAGAAACTTAAGCTGGATAGCTTTCAAGGTCACAGAGAATGGGTTGTATGTGATAGTTAAAACTTGTTCACTTCAACTAAGTTAGCCATTTTCCAGATATTCCATTTGGGGCTATGTTTGGCTAGTGACATTCATTCAACTCAACCTTGCAGGCAGAGGTTAACTTCTTGGGACAACTACACCACATAAATCTCGTGAAGTTGATCGGATATTGCTCTGAGTGTGAAAACAAACTCCTTGTTTATGAATTTATGCCCAGAGGAAGCTTGGAAAATCATCTATTCCATAGTAAGTAAATTTTCTTGCCTTACCCTATTTTACAGTTTTTTGTTGCTTTGAGGGCCAACTTGGATTTTAACCACTTCTATGATAGATTTACAATTTCAAGGGGCATTCTTCTCTGGTGGAAAAAATGAGGTCTTCTAATTGGAAATGGTTCATGTACCTGATTTGTCTTAGTGATTTGGGTATAATTGGAAGTGTGATGGGAGTCAGTCAATGAGGTTATAATGTTTGTATATATTTTTCAAACCAGCGATTGAATCCAATCAAATTACTAGTCTAACCTAAGATCACATTTATGTTTTTTAAGTTTCTGTATGTAACTCTTAACAATTTGAAGTCAGAATGGCTCTCATAGGATCTCTATGGAATCTGAGAATAATTATATGTGTAGTAAATAAATTTTAAAAAGTGGAAAGTAACTTTAATAATACCAGTTATCGCTCGTAAATTAACAATAAAACTCACTTTAAAAATCACTCTCAGTTTATTTGAATGCATAATAAAGTAAGAGTCATTAATCTGCTCATAACCCATCATAAACTACTATTTGTCTTTCAAATGAAGCTTATTTTGAAATGAGGTCACTTATTTGATGACCTAATATAGTAATATAAGTGTTTGATGAGTTACATGAATAGATTTGTAGTGAGAAAGTGACTCAAATTATATCATCCATTATATACTTAAATCGTTGGTATTACCGAAAGTGGTTTCTAAAGAGCACATTAAACTAATACTCCGTATATCTCTAACAAAGCAGAAAAAAGAGACGAAAAGGTAGAAAAACAGAAAAAACATTGAACCATTGATATGACAATAATTGCCAAAAGTAAAAAAAAAAGTGGAACTAAAGTAATACTGTAAAATTCCTAATTTAGTAAAAAAAATATGTACTAAAAATGAACAGAGGGAGTATGTTATTTAATCATGCTGATTTGCAGTGAATTATATGCCTGACAATGTTCTTGCTTTGTGTTTCTCAATGCAGAAGGAGTTCAACCCATGACTTGGGCAACACGAATGCGTATTGCGGTAGATGTTGCAAGAGGGCTATCCTTCTTACACAGTCTGGACACCAATGTGATCTACCGTGATCTCAAGGCTTCTAACATTCTTCTCGACTCGGTATACCTACCTGCCTACCTATTGCAGTTAGATTATTTCCTTTTATATGCAGGCCTGCATATTTAGTTATGAGCCTCGAATGTAGCTCTGGTCAGGCTCGAGCCATTAACGTTTGATCAACCGTGTGCGGCTTACAGGACTTCAATGCAAGGCTGTCCGATTTTGGGCTGGCAAAAGATGGTCCTAGAGGTGATAAAACTCATGTTTCCACAAGGGTTATTGGGACACGGGCCTATGCTGCACCTGAATACATGGCCACAGGTTTCTTTCCTTCCATATTTATTCCTCTTTGTGTCTAACTTGGAAAGAAAAAGAGTCATATGAGCAATGCCAATCAGGTAATTGACCAGGTTCAAGTATTTAGTAAATAGTAAGGTTTTACTAATGTTGTTTACATTCATCCTACTTATTAAGACTTGAGGTTCTCTTACTTCCATCTCCAAAAAGATAATCAGAATGAAAGTCCAAAGTTTTATAGGTTAGTTGGTTGTTTTATATGCATCTGATGCGAGATAAAATCTTCAACACCCCTTATCGCCAGACACTAAACCATGCATTTTAGACCATTTATTTTTCATATGGGCTCATAAAGTAAACCGACTCATGCGAAAAGTAAATCTAGTAGTCGATGTAGTCCAATGTGTTGCCGTGTTGGTTTAGAAGGATTTTATATTTAGCTGACACATTCTTCAGTGTGAGACTGTGAGCTACATTCACTAAATTATCAATTTATGTGAGTACAGGACACTTGACTTCGAAAAATGACGTGTACAGCTTCGGGGTTGTATTACTGGAGCTGTTATCGGGGAGAAGAGCGTGCGGATATGAGAATGAGGCAGCTCAACAAACCTTAGTGGAATGGGCATCTCCTTTCCTAAGTGAGAGCCGCAAAGTGATGAGAATCATGGACACAAGATTAGGCGGTCAGTACTCCAGAAAAGGCGCCCAAGCTGCTGCTGCTCTTGCATTGAAGTGTCTCCACACATCCCCGAGGGCTCGTCCTGCCATGGCTGATGTTCTTTCTGCCCTGGAACAGCTTCTTCCTGCACCACCAAAGGATAATGTGCCCCTTCAGGGATTCACATTAGGCCATTCTTGAGAATCTATAATACAAATGTCAATTAGTTTATTTCTCCTAAAAAATGTTATTAGGAGACTATTCACATATGATCCATGTAATAGATTTATCAGTATGCATTTCATATAACTGTAAAGTATTCATCAAATTTGTTATATCTGTAAAAAAGAAAGCACAAAACTTGCAACTCTTTCATAGTTAGCACTTAGCTAGAACTTTCAATGTCATTGAAGAGTATCTCAAAATTTTATATTTTTGATCTCTTATGGATAGGTCTAATTGATGTTGTATGACAAAATTGAAACACTTAATTGTGCCTTTAAAAATTATAGCAGCAGAAAATAAGTAATGCCTCAATAAATACTTGATAATGGAAAAATACAAGGAGTATGTTTACCATTTTTTTGTTTAAGAACTATTTACCATTCAAATAATACGGAGTATATTTTACTGTATCATTCAAATAATATTAGTATTTCATTTTCTAAATTAAGTACAACTCTCTTCAATCTAATTTAGTGTTTTATTCTGCCTAAAAAAATTCCTAAACACTTTAGGTCATTTTGATTTGGTACTAGTAGATTTATTTTAGATAAATTAACACACTTCTAGTTATTCATACGAAATAACATTATCATAACTATTATTGGATACATGAGATTATAATAATAAAATTATTATATATAGGTCCGGCCTTGGCGAAGCACTCATCCCAAATCCAATACGTCAGATATATAAGTTCTTCCTTCTTCAAAAGTTGTGTGCTTGACTTTTGGACCGAGTCAATTAACTCAACAAATTTCATTTAAAAACTAATTTTGGAAATTGTTACTTCATAATTTCAATTTTCTATATACATGCACTACATTATTAAAAGGAAGAATGACATTAATATTACTATTTAGCTTTCTAATGACATAAATATTATTGCATTCCATTAATTCCAAAAAAGTTACCTAATTCAAAATTAGGACCGTTTTTAATTAATCCCGACTACCCTTCACCAACTCACCGCAACTCTTTGTTTTCCTTCTTCTTCTCCGACCGATTTTTTCCTTCTTCTTCGACGACCGACTTTACACTTTCATGTCTTCCGTTTCTTCTACATCAATTTCTCTAACCATTCTCGAATTGTATTCAGGCGCGATCCAAAATTGTTAAGGTAATTCCGGCATCGAGTTTCATATTTGTGCTTTAATATCTCCATTGTCGATTATTGACTATTTGTTGATTTTTCGCAATAGACACAAATCGTTTCTACTCGTTTTTCCTTTCTCTTCTTCACATGTTCTTTGTATTTACGAGTAGTTTAAGTTTTTAATATCCATGCCTACACTTCATTCAGAGCAGTCCAGTATTTAATTTTTCATATCCATCTCTTTTGATTCTGTATTCTCGCCAATATCAAGCTATATGCTTAATGAATTCGATTAGTACAATACTGATTAGGTTATTCTGGTCTATTTCATGATGAATAAGGTTATGTTATGTGCACTTTAACTCACTTCCTTTAAAAACATTATTTGATGTTGTATGTTCATTTTGCTTTCTATTTTGGATACATTTTTGCAGACATGTCTTACAGTGATTTCACTTCGCCCCCCAATCCAACCCCATTCTGACGATCATCTAGTCGTTTATCATTGTCACCCAGGACAAAACCAGTTAGTTATTTTGTTTCTGTTCCTTGTTGAGTTGCTTCTATTTTTATCCAAATATTATATATAACCAACTATTGCATGAATGTTCTTACTTGTTATTTTGATTCTTTCTTTTTTCCAGACCTATACGAGGTTGGTCAACAAGGATGTTGTCTATGAAGACGTAAAGAATAGGAGGGTTAATAACTTTTCTAGGCTTTATGGGTCAATAAATCTAGTGAGGTCTAAACTACTTCCTGATCAGCTTGAGATGTTTAAGGCTTCAATATTTGGAAAGTTTTTAGAAGCTAAGGATATGTCTTGTTGTGGACAACTAGTACATTTCCTTATAGGCAACTTAGTTGAGATTAAAAACTACAACAATGCTCTGTCTTTTGAAATCCAAGATAGACTCCTCACATTCTCTCAATCTGATTTCACTGAAATTACGGGTCTCCACTTCAGTGACAATGTCCCTACTTTAGAATCGAGGGTAGGTGATAGAGGAGTTATATGGAAAAAATACTTTCCTCAGTCTAGAAAAAAGGTCAAACGTAAGGACATTAATACAATATTCCAGTGTATTCAGAGGGGCACAGGACCAACTGATGACATTTTTAAGCTCTCCCTACTTTTTATTCTATCACATGCCTTTTTAGTCACTGAAGGTCAAGTGTCTCTTAATAACACTTATGTCAACCTTGTTGATGATATTGATGCTTTTAACTCTTATCCATGGGGAACCATCATTTGGAATGATATGTTTAGTTACTTTAGTGCTGCTGCTAAAAGCTTGTCATCAAATCCTTCTCATTATAATATCTATGGTTGTGTTGTCGCCTTACAAGTTTGGGCTTTTGAGTCGTTTCCTGGACTCAAAGAACTAGGTGTAGCTCAAATGGTAGACCCTAGTGCTGTCCCTAGGATCCTAAGATGGGCTTCAAATTCTAAGGTTACCAGTGACACCTTGAAGGAGTGTATTTTCAACAACAAAGATGTGAGTTTTTCGCTTATCTGTCTTTGTAATCCTTTTTCATGCTTGTCTATATTCTCACTTTTGAATATGTGCATTTTCAGTGTAATTTCAGTCCAATTTCACATTCAAGCAGTGTCGATCCTTTGGATACTGCTCCCAAACGGCATTTGAGGAAGAAAACTTCAAAACAAACCCAAACAACCATTCCATCTCCCTCTGCTGTTGCTCATACATCTAAAGCAATGACACCAGAAAATCCCCACCCTCATATTGATGATATAAGTGACCATGCAGCTGTTTTAAATTCCAAAAACTGTTCTCATAAAGCAACCTGTCAGAAATTGGAAGCCAAAATTTCTTTCCTTGAAGAACAAGTGCAAAGCTTACGAAGTGAAGTTGCTGGATTTTATGAAAAATTTAAAGAACAACAACAATTGATTCATGACTTGAGAGATGTTGTTGGATATTCACGAAAAAGTGTGCCATCTGCTGGCGTAGGATCTCACAAAACTTCAGAGAAGAATCAGTGTTATCCTGGCGAGGATGTTATGCACCATGACTCAGGCCTTGAGGTTGCTGCTGCAATCCAAAATGATGATGCTGGAGCAAGTGCTACACTAAATGGTGATGCACGAGAATCAAGTTGGACAAAAATATTCAGTGTTGCCTTTGACCTTTATGATCTCAAAGTAAGTTCATACTTTAAAACTTATCTACTTCTATCCACACTGTACATTTTTTACTCATTATTACGTATTTTTCTAATTGTTCAGCCACCCAAACTGCCTGTTATTGCTCCAGTTATATCTCCTCTAAATGATTCTGGTGATTTATTCCCTAAACAAAATGAGGTGTCACTTCCTGCAGTTGAATCCTCTATGCCACCAACTCTTTCATCCATTCCTCAGGTTTTTGCATTTGTTTATATTACAAACACTTATAAGATACTCTTTTCTAACTTGTTCATATTTTTTATTTTATTGTACAGGTAGCCCTTCCTCACAATGACGGTGTTATTGAAACTGAAGATGTGCAGACACACCATGCTAGACCAAAATGAAATGCTCGTTCACCTTCCCGATATACTCCAGGAACTGATGCCATAAGAAAAGGGAAAAAGCATCGAACTGTCCAAGTTACTTGTCCCTTCAGTCAGGATCCATTCGCCTTCTTCAAGACAGAATCTGAACGTGCAAAGTTCATTGATATAATGATGGAAGGTGTTGTCATAGGACACCAATCATACTCTAGGCCGGTCAAGTACACACCTGAACATGATGCTGTTGTTTCACTTGTTCTCGAACCGAGTTTGGAAGCTAAAAATAAATCATGGCTTTATCGAATATACCAATCAGGTCAATGGCTTGATGCTACGGTATGTTTCTATATGAGTATTAAAAATGAAATGCTTTCATAGTTACATTAGTGAGATATGACAGATATCAGTTTCCGAAATCTTTCTTTTTAATATTTCAGCATCTAGACACTATAAGTTTTTACTTGCGGGTCAAACCAGCTGTGTATAAGTACCCCCAGAAATTCTCAACTACTGAAACATACTTTCTTTCATACTTGAATGAGCGTTATGATTCTTACAAGAATGGTAAATCTCATCTATCTGCAATTGCTAAGGACATGTATTTGAAAGACACTCTAGCAGGAGATGACTCTCAGTTCCTGCGTCCCATGGCTAGAGTCTGACTACATCTATTGCACTATGAGCATACAATCAAAGCATTGGATTCTCATTGTTCTTGATATTCAAGCACACACTTTACGTGTTTACGATACTAACAATAGACGTGCTATTTTTTCATCAAAGCATGGTTACAGAAATGTGTGGACTGATTCACTATCTTCCGATTGTTCTTTCCTACTTCAAAGGTTGTGGCAACAAAGTTAATCTTAAAGCTGTGAAGTCATTTAGCCTTCAGATGATTCATGGTGTGCCACAACAACAAAATGGGTATCAAACATTTTATTATAAACTAAAATCTTATTCCCTATATATGATGAACTGCTGCCAGTTAGTGATAAATATAATATGTCACTAATATATACCCTGTATTTCTTAATTGACTTTTAGCAGGGGTGATTGTGGGTTTTTAGTGATGAAGCTAGCAGAGGTTCTTCAGATGGACATGGATATGAAGCTGGTATGCCCTGATAAGATCCCATATTATCGAGCAAAGTGGGCATACGACCTCTACATTCACGGCTCAGCGCATGGGAAGGCCATAGTTGTCCATTCACCGCCTGCATAGAAATATATGTTTCCATTGAATGTAATTGACATTGAAATGTATTTTGTTATTGCTATCATCATACTTTTCTTTTTTGAATGTATGTTGAAGAACAAGAACAACACTGTCCTTATCTTTTGTCATGTTATGGAAATATTATGGTCATTATGCTTTTATCTATTTAGTTTTATCCTTTCAAAAAGTATTACTCGCAGTTCTATTGTTGGTCAAAACTAAAGTCATTTTCTTGTCACCTACTGCCATTCAAGGGCATTTCAGATTTTGTCACTATACACGTGGGACTGACTAGCCACACACGTGACTGAATTGCAACACCAGTTCTTTGTTATTAT